AAAATTAGGGCAGGTTAGGTTAGGTTAGGTTAGGTTAGGTTAGGTTAGGTTAGGTTAGGTTAGGTTAGGTTAGGTTAGGTTAGGTTAGGTTAGGTTAGGTTAGGTTAGGTTAGTCTTCTTATAAATCATCGTGTTTCTCCATAACTATAAACAACACAATTATGAATTACCACTCAAATTAAAGATAAACATTTGGACTTTCCAACGTACCATACTACATATTTGTAACTATTGCCGACTTGCTGCAATTTACGTTCAAAAGTTTTTTTAAAGCTTCGTCTTTTTACAAATCATCGTTTTTCTCCATAACTATGCAATACATAATAATGAATGATATCTCGAATTAAAGACAAATATTTGGACTTGTCAACGCGCCATCTGCGATGTTTGCAGATATTACAGATTTCCTGTAAAGTACGGTCAAACTTGCAAAAATTTCTTGAATTTACAGAGCCACCCTGTACATTGAAATATTTATTTTTTCCTATTGGCAGTGTTGCGTGTGCAACTTGTTAGATCGCCGCTGGCTTCGGTCGGTTGAAACGTCAAATCGCATTTGTATGTGTCAAAATGGCGTTCGGGATTATTTAGTTTTAACAATATTAAACAACATTTTTTTTTGATTGGGTGTGGCCCAGTCTCACGCGGCATTCAGGGATCTGTGGTAGCGGGGGCCGCCTACGATCCGTGCGCGAGTGTTTGTAGAGGGTCGTAGCAGGAAGGAAGACCGCAGGGCGCGCGCCCGCTTCTCCGGGGGGCTTGGCATTCTTTGCGCGCACTTCGTGTGTGTGTGTGTGTGTATGCATATACGTACATATGATCGGGGTGTAAACTGGTATAAACTTTCGTGAGAGATTCGCATAGGTTATATATATATATATATATCTGCTTATCTCTGTAAACAAACGGAACGCGCGCAATCTTATACAAATCGCAGTGATAAATAAACATCAACAAAATCGTCTGAATTCCAAGTCGGGCTTCCGGCCCTAATTCTAATTGGAATTTGGAGAATCCTTAACGCAGTAACGATGACCAGACAAGAGCGCATTCGCATTGTGGGGGTTGTTGTGGAGTGATAAAGTGTTTAGTTTTTAGTACTTTTTTTTAAATTTCATTCACCATAAGGCTCGAGTGAGTTTCAAAGTAAAATGTCACGGTTAGCTGATTACTTTGTCATAGTTGGATATGATCACGAAAAAGAAAGTGAGTTTTTAGTGCATTGAACCTGCCTACAAACATATATTGTGCAAACATCTAAATTGTTTCATTATTTTTTTTTTCATTTGCTGCAGGAAGTGGCATCAGCAATGGCATGATATTGCAGAGGTTCCCTGAAAAGGACTGGAGTGACACACCGTTCATTGAAGGCATTGAATGGGTAATTTGAAATTTGAGGTCAATGATGTAATCAAAATGCTGTGACCTGTTGTTTTCTTTTATATCTATTTTTTGGTTCTTCCATTCGAAAACTTAACAACAACAGTTCTGTCAACCTCAAGGATGGGCTCTCTCCACAGACAGACAGGAGCCAAGGTTCTTTGTCTCTGTCCTCACTGACATCGATGCAAACAGGCATTACTGTGCCTGCCTCTGCTTCAATGAAACTGTTTCCATTAAACCCAGCAAACCTGTTGATGAGGTATGAAACAATGAAATATGAAGCAATCTTTTTCTTTATTGTTTATGTTGTTAATATGATTTTAGGATGAAGACACAGTGGATGGTGAAACATCACTGGCCAGACTGATACCAGTCATCTCACATCACAGTATTATGTACGCTCCCAAGTGTCTGGTACTGGTGTCTAGACTTGATTACATTGAGACCTTTCGAGTGAGTCTTCTTTCATTAAATTTTGATATATATATAGTCATTATGTTGTCTTATGCAACCAACAAAACTGTTTACTTTGATCGGTGGATTTAAATATCTTATAAGAAATTTTATATCTTAAATGTTGTACATTGAAAACAACAAATCTATTATTTCAGAATTGTTTGGGTATTATATATACTGTGTACGTGGAGAATTTGAATGTGCACTTGGAGACTTTGGTGGGCAACATTTTGGGATGCATCCAGGTGCCACCTCCTGGTGGACCCCAGGTACGTTTCAGCATTGGAGCAGGAGATAGGCAAGCACTGCAGCCGCCGATCAGCCCTTCTTTGCCAGTGACACATACCTCGGTTAATTTGCTTTTTCAGCAATTAGGTGAGTATCTCGTTTCTGTGACTGATGTTGTCTATAATTAACAACAATTTTGTACCGTTTGATAGGTATAAGAAATGTGTTAGTGTTGTTTTGTGCCATAATGACGGAACACAAGATTTTATTCCACTCGAAGAGCTACAACCGTCTGACGGAGGCGTGTCGAGCGCTCACTGCCCTCATGTATCCATTCCGGTACAGCCACGTCTACATACCTCTGCTGCCAGCAGCCCTCGTGGAAGTCCTCTCCACGCCCACCCCGTTCATCATGGGCGTGCACTCATCGCTGAGGTCGGAGGTGGCCGAACTAATGGACGTGATTGTCGCCGATTTGGATGGCGGCTCGATCACCGTCCCGGACGGCGTCTCGTTGCCGCTACTCCCCGAGCCTTTGCTCAGCAATATGCAGGAACAGCTGAGTCTTATCCTGCAGCCGGAGCTGAGCTGCGCCGACCACGCCTTCCCGCCCTTAGCGGTAAGGGCGCCCGAACAGGTGATGCTGGACAAGGAGATTCGCGCCGTCTTTATGCGCCTCTTCGCACAACTCCTGCAAGGCTACCGCAGCTGTCTCACGCTGATCCGTATCCATCCGAAACCGGTGATCACCTTCCACAAGGCCGCCTTCCTCGGAGAGCGAAACCTCATCGACTGCGACTTTACGACGCGCGTCCTCGACTGCATGTTCTTTACGAGTTTTGTGGCAGAAAGGGGTTCTCCTTGGAGGCCGTGCGACGTCTGGGATGAGTTGTACAGCAACTTAGGTGACTACCTGAAGTCGGAGACGCAGAGTCCTCGACATCTGTTAGTGCACATCCAGGAGCTAGCTCATCAGTTGTACACGAACGAGAACCCCAATCCGCAGTTGTACTCGCAGAAGATCCTAGCGCCGCCTGAGGGCGCCTTCGCTCGCATCCATCAGCCTCCACTGCCGACCATCGACCCGCAGCAAGTGCAGACCATCATAGACGAGGGACTCTCTAAGAACAATCTCAAATCCAGGTGAGTTTCTCGATTCCAGCCTTCACAACAAATCAAGCATTTAATTCACTTTTTTTCTGTCTACGCTCAGCGGAGACTATGCTTGGTAAGATTATTGTTATTAATCTAATTATTTTGTGTTTTTTTTCTATTACTTTTGTTCGTTCTTAGTCACACTATTAACACTGTTTCTTAACCGTTGACATGCGACACGCGCTTTACTTAAATTTAAATCTCGATAAGCTTAGGAAACGAAAATTACATGTTCTCGATTATCGTCAAGTGTATTGAATAGTTTGCGTGTGTTACTCAATCAGGTTGCAATCATTGAGACCAACCCAGCCAAGGATAGTGCCGATGGGACCACACATATCAAATCTGAACGAGAATAAAAACATATTGAGTAACTCTGCCAGAAGGTTGGAGGTAATTATCTGCAAAAGCGATTGAGTACTTGGGATTAATTTGTATGATTTTATGTCGTAGGTGTTACGGAGCTGCGTAAATTGCATATTCGAAAATAAGATATCGGATGCGAGGAAGACTTTTCCGGCGGTGCTTCGTGCTCTGCAGTCGAAGGCGGCGCGTTTGGCGTTATGCAATGAGTTGGCCCAGCATGTCGTAGGGAATAAAGCCATGCTCGAGCACCAGCAGTTTGATCTGGTGGTGCGTCTGATGAATTGCGCTCTGCAAGACGACTCCTCCATGGACGAACACGGGGTTGCCGCTGCTCTACTCCCGTTGGCCGCTGCTTTCTGCAGAAAGCTCTGCACAGGTGTCATACAGTTTGCGTATACTTGCATACAAGAGCATGCCGTGTGGCAGAACCAGCAGTTCTGGGAAGCCGCCTACTATCAGGACGTGCAGAAAGATATAAAGGCCCTGTACCTGCCGCGAACGGACACGATCTCGCCTCGGCTGGGTAACGATCTTATCATTAGTCCGACGTCGCCTAGGGAGAACAAGGACGTGATCTGGAGCAATCGCAGGTCCATCATCAACCGGGTGGCAGAACCTAGTGCTTTGGAGATCGCCGCCGAGCAGATGCGTCTGTGGAACACAATCGATGCGACCAAGCAAAATGAGTTGGTGACTAGCGAGGAGAGCACTCTCTACAGTCAGGCTATTCACTATGCTAATCGCATGGTTGCTTTACTCATTCCATTGGATATTGGCAACAAAACACATAAGCAGGATCATCACATTGACGACGAGCAGGCCAGCAACAGCATCACGAACAGGTAATACATTAATAAATATATATATTATTATCGAGATTAACATTAATAATTTTGCAGTGTCGCGGAAAGTGACAGCGCCGATGCGGAAAGCGGCTTTGAGGATCAGGATCCGGGTGAGACAGGTGCGACGGTGATACGTCTTGTCTCACGGTTTTTGGACAAGGTCTGCAACGAGGGTGGCGTTAGTAGGGACCACATTAAGAATCTCCATCAAATGGTTCCGGGTGTCGTCTTCATCCACATCGAGACGTTGGAGGCCGTCTACAGGGAATCGAAGCGGTTGCCGCCCATCCAAAAGCCCAAGATCAACATGCCCAATATGCTACCAGGCGAGGAACCAATTACAGATGGGCTGCGTGTGTATCTTCTCCCGGATGGACGAGAGGAGAGCACCGCCGGGAACTTGGGCGGACCACCGCTTCTCCCTGCAGAAGGTGCCATCTTCTTGACGAACTACAGGATCATTTTCAAGGGGACACCTTGCGATTCATTCGGTATTTATATATGAAATATGATGTTAGTTGATTTATAATTTACAGCGTGCGTACATATTGTTTGCAGCCTGCGAGCAGATCGTCGTTCGGGCGTTTCCTGTGACCTCCCTGACCAAGGAGAAGCGAGTGGCCGTACAGTATTTGGCGCATCTGGATCAATGGTTGCAGGAAGGTCTGCAGCTCAGATCGTGCACGTTTCAGCTGATGAAGTTGGCTTTCGACGAGGAGGTTACTCCGGAGAACATCGAGAGTTTGCGTAAGATGATACACAAGATGCGCCATCCGCCCACGGTCTTCCATCATTTTGCCTTCGCCGGACAGGTGATGGTTTCGCAGACACCTCTGCATAAAGGCAAAGAGAAGAACGCTACATTGCGAGGCTTTGCCAAGAAGACGTTACTAAAGACGGCTCGTCGCGCCGGTTTCAAGCAGAAACCGACCTCAAAGCGACAGAAGTACGTGCTGCCCGATATGAACGTTTCGAATTCGTCCAAGTACATGACATCTCCGGGTCGCATGAGTCTGCCTAATCATCACGGCGATGATTACCCGCACGAGGATGATATCTCCGTCGATGATTTCGAGCAGACTCCCCCGAATAGTATAATTGTGCCTCCGCAAACCGATGTGAAGACATTGGAACGTCTCGCGGAGAGGAGCTACGTGCGCGACTGGCAACGCCTTGGCCTGTGCAATTACAGTGGCTCACCAACTGCTAAATCATCAACGCCCGATCAGTTCCGATTGACGTCAGTGAACTCTGTCTACATGATTTGTCGCAGTTATCCTGCCCTTCTGGTGATGCCCTCGAACGTCACCGATGAGTCGATTCGCAGGTTCTGCAGGTGCTATCGCCAGGGTCGCATACCGAGCATCACGTGGAGGCATCCCAAGACCAAAGCGTTGCTTCTGAGAGGCGCCGGACATCACGGCAAGAGCGTCATGGGAATGCTGAAAAGCCATCCGACCACCAACAACATGACGGAGACCACATCGTCGCTGGAGCAAGAGAAGTATCTATCAGCATTGGTCACGGCCACGCCCATATTCAATCAGAGGGTTGGGTGGGGCAAGTCGGATAGCAGTCTGAGCATCGATTCGTTGCTGTTCGCCACGGAGGAGCATTTGGGGGGCGGAGCAGGGGGCACGTTGACGCCCGACGTCTCGCGACGGTCAAATCCGCTGAAGACCATTGGTACGTTGGGCGTGTTTCCCAGGAACAGCGGCGGGAAAGGACCGAAGAACTTTGGTCGCTGGGGATCGCTCAAGGATAAAAGGCACAGCTCTCAGGCATCTCTGAGCAACGTGCCGCAGAACAGGACTAACATCAGGCATTCCGTGGATGTGGCCGACGCGACGGACGGCGTCAACTCATTGCAGAGGGCGGCTCTGTACATTCTAGGTAACTCCATATAAATGAATAATTTCAATGCAATATGAAATCACTTCTTGTTTTTTTTTTAATTTTTAGGTGAAAAAGCACAAATGAAGGGAGTGAAAGTGGAATCTGCACCGAAAACTGATTTCATACCGGTAGAGTATTGCGACGTGAGACATACGAAGGCGGCATTTAAAAAACTGATGCGCGCCTGCATTCCGAGCTCGCAACTGGAGCCAGACCAAAGTTTCCACAAGTAAAATCAATAATTAACCTGCTTTCTATCAACATTATTTGTGCCGATATCTAAATTTGTATTCGTTTTTTTTTTGATTAGATTGATCGAGAATTCCGAATGGCTGCAGCAGCTGCAAAACATCATGCAGCTTTCCGGTGCTGTCGTCGATCTGTTGGATCTTCAGGGATCGTCGGTGGCGATCTGTCTGGAGGATGGTTGGGACATCACCGCGCAGATATCGTCAATCGCGCAACTCTGCCTGGATCCGCACTATCGTACTCTGGAAGGTTTCCGGGTGCTGGTGGAGAAGGAGTGGATCGGATTCGGTCACAGGTTCAGTCACAGGAGCAACCTGAACGCGAATTCGCAAGCGAGCGGTTTCGCGCCGACCTTCCTTCAATTCCTCGACGTCGTCCACCAGATCCAACGGCAATATCCGATGGCGTTCGAGTTCAACGATTACTACCTGCGTTTCCTCGCATACCATTCGGTGTCGTGTCGCTTTCGAACGTTCCTGTTCGACTGCGAACTGGAACGTGTCGAAAGCGGCGTCGCCGCCGTCGAGGACAAACGCGGCTCGCTCACGTCGCACCACAAAAGCGTGGACACCATCTCCGACGACGAGAGCGTTTATCCCGGCGGCAGGATGGCCGGCACACAGAGTGGTACCAATCTGGGACAGAGCGTCTTCGATTACATAGAAAAACAGAACGCCAGGAGCCCGCAGTTCTTTAACTTCATGTACACGCCCGGCCTCGAGCATCAGGTAAGATGAAAATAAATGATTCGCGCGAGACGATGTATTATCATAATTGCATTGCTTTGCAGGTTTTGAGGCCTCAATCCAATCTGGCGTGTCTGGATGTGTGGAGTTATTACATAGATGAAGAACTCGCGCACGGTCCCAGCTACGATGTGGAAATTATACAGATGGACACGCAGCAGGAGGAGGAAGCCGAAGCTGCCGACGGCATCAACAATAAGTCGATGCGCAAGACCATCACCATGGGGTATAATAATAATATCTCATTGAAGCGTATATATTTATGCATTTTTTGTTATAGTTACGAGAGCGTGAATAAAACCGTACCGGAGGCGTTCAGTCATCTCCTAGAGGAAATCCATCGTTTGGAAACAGAGCTGGGGCATCTGCCGCAGAAGTGGAAAGTGCTCTGGGATAAACTCGAGATTCCATCCACCGATTCTTTAACGGTATGTTGACAAATAATCGTATTTGTTGATGAACGCGTTTTAATTGTATATTAATATTTTACAGAGACACGCTTCGTTCAGTACGGCTCTGGTGAGGTCGCACGGTAGGCTCGTGCACAAGAGATCAACTTTGGAGATCTTGATGCGTGGAAAGATGGTCGGTGCAGCTGAATCCTCTTTGGTCTATTCGCATCCCCATCGCTTCGAAAAGTACAATTACACGACTCCGACGCACTGCGATCAGTGTCCGCACCTCCTCTGGGGACCAGTCAAGGTAAATACAGTTTGATGAGTTGAATTGTGTAAATAAATTTAAATGTAAATCTGTTAAGATGGGTATGAGGTGCGTGGACTGCGGCTTCAGCTGCCACGAGAAGTGCATGGAGAGCGTCACGAAGAACTGCACCATGTACAAGACGGTCAGCGACAATTCGACAACGCAGACGATGCCCGGCAGCGGCGGCGACAACGGATCCGTGAGTTCAGGTAAATTGACGACGAATTAACTTCTTCGTTCCTTGACTAATCGTGCACGTCCGTTTTGGCTACAAGTAGGAAGCGCCCGACAAACATCGAGCCAACAGTACTACGAGCAGTTCTCCTCGAACGTCGCCGAGAATCGGACGCACGAAGGATACCTCTACAAGAGGGGCGCTCTGCTCAAGGGATGGAAACAACGTTGGTTCGTTCTCGACTCCATCAAGCATCAGCTTAGGTACTACGATGCGATGGAAGACTCCCATTGCAAGGGATTCATTGGTACGTCCATATAAACACGTAAAATGTAGAATGAAAAAACTGTATCGTGATTTGCTTCTCCTCTTGAAGATCTTGCCGAGGTGATGTCCGTGCAGCCGGCGGCTCCAGCTCCCGGACCACCGAAGAAAACCGATGACAAATCCTTCTTCGATGTAAGTGCACCATGCATAGCGCACCAAACATATTCAACATATTCATTTGTATATTCCAGTTGAGAACAAGTCGAAGAACGTACAACTTTTGCGCTGCGAATGCAATAGCCGCACAGGAGTGGATAGAGAAGCTACAAGCCTGCCTCCAATAAATAAAATTTAAAACAATAAAAAAGCGAGCCAATCGCCGATCAGCGAAACGAAAAATCGAAATGACCAAGAACACGCCCATCCGTTCGTTCTTCTTCGTCCGCTCCAAGAAAGGTTTGATTACAATTCATAGTTTGATTGTTATTTGTTGAACTTTTCGTTCGTTTCTCATTTATTCGACAAGGAATAACGTTAATCCACGTTTTCTGCATATATATTTGGTACAATGAGGGTACGATGCTCGGAGAAAAGAAAACAATTAATCTGCTCAATTCTGTGCTCTCATAACAATACGACTCGACTCAATCCGTTTGTGTAGTGTTAGTATACTAGTTTAATGATGATGATGATGATATTTCGTTGTTGATGATGATGAATGATTATTATTATTTTGTCGTATTTATATATGTATTTTATATGTATATAAATATAGTATGTATTTAGTGAAGAAAGAAGGGCGTGAATACGCGAAGAGAGAGAGAGAGAGTTGAAAGGGCGGGAGGGAGAGAGATATATTTTATTTTACATAGGAGATCTCTAAAAAATGTTGATTTTTTTTTTATAAATATATATAAAACAATTATTATTATTATTATTAGGTAGATAATTAATTTAATTAATTTTAGTGTTTTATACTCGGTTCTTGTTTCCATGTGATTTATAATTTCGTTTAAACGCTTTTGTTAGTCATTGAGCTCTCTAATATATTTATATAAACAACTCGACAAACAAACAAGCAAACAACCATATCAACAGCAATGTGTGCATGTTGCTGCAGACATTGCGCGCGCAAGGCGTGATTTCGTCAGGGAAAGGAGGAACAAGGTGTTTGTTTATTGCAATAATTTGGTGGATTTAAAGGATTTTCTTCCCCCCTCACAACCACCCGTATCTCGACAAATTGATCATCACCAAAAAACAAAAACAAAATGTGCGGTGATGGCAACCGGGGGCGGAAATAAAAATTGAAACTCAGATTAGCTTTCTTTGATTTTATATATATATTTAAACTTTATTTTTTTTTCTCTTTATATTTGTGATATATATTTTATATCTGTTGTATTTTTACTGCTCTTGCATATTATTTAGGTTCCTCGCTAAATATATATATATATATTATTATTATTTTTTTATCCTCTATTTGTTATTTTATATTAAACCAGTCGCGCTTCCAATTCAAAATGTTTTTCATTTGTTTGATAAGATGTTTATTTCTTTAAAAAAAGTCATCTATGACAAGACAATAATTGTTTGATTCTCCATGGCAACAACAGTTTGATTAGTTTGAAACGCTCTCGTGTAACGTTGATCTCAGTGTGCGAGTTTCTAAAGACCAAAAAGATCCTCTCGATTCCTTTCTGTTTTTTTTGTTTTCTTTTCAACGCTGATCATGATTTCCCTTCTTTCCCAGCGTCAATGTTTTTCCCACCTAAATGTGTGTGTATGTATGTAACTTAAGTAAAAGTTTATCGCTCTGTATGTGTAAATGTAAATATATTATAATAAATTAGACGTAATTGGACGGAATTTAATTGAGTGTGTCTCTAATGGTGTAATTGCAAGTGATTTACTACTTAGACGGGTTGTACAGTGACCTTGATGATCAGTTGATTGGAATCGTCGACGAAGTTGTTGGCCAAAAGATCTTCGAGGAGCGCAAACTCTTTGTAACCGTAACCCTTGGGGTTCATCTCCTCGGTGGGTCTCTGGAAAGCGCCCAGATCCGGCTTCGTCATGATTGTCTCCTTTATATTCCTGAACGATTGCCTAAGAAAGAGTTCGATAATTTCCATATGTTTACGTTGTTTAATTGATTTAAAAAATAAACTAACAGCGGATGGACGATGGTGAGGACCAACTTTCCACTGAACGGCCAATCCAAGGTGTTATCGTGTTTGGAGCGCATCATGTGCACCAAGAGAGCGACGTAATTGGAATCGTTCGGTGATAGATTGAATCTCAAGCACAGCCTAGGTAACAAAAAGTTTTAAAAAAATGATGATCAACTTCAACAACAACGAAAACCTGTAACCGTTGCAGGACGTATAAAATCCCGGACTGTAGTACATAACATGTTGATTGTTCTTCATCGTGTTCAGTTTGTTCTTGAAATCGGTCAAGTACCAGACGTAATTCCCGTTGCAGTAGCGCAGCGGAAGCGACGACATCACCGTGGAATTGGCCGAAATCCGATCGCTCATATTCGTTATTATAATCTCCTGCTCTCTATTCTTCTGCTCAAGAAACACGATTTTCTCGTAAAGCGCCCTGAAAAAGAAACTCATTTTTTACACAATCTAAGGCAGCGTTTTCCAAACTGTGTGACGCACCTCCCTGGGGTGGAGCGAATATTAGTAGCAGTGTTTTCACATTTCATTGATTTACTCGAAAACT